TGTTTAATCCTTACGTTAATCTTCCATCTCAAAGTTCTCATCAACTCCTTCTTCTTCTTCTTTATTACTATTATTATTACTATTATTATTATTAGTAGTGTTATCAGATTTTAAAAAAAACTGTTATTATTATCGAAGAAAAATTATGTTGGGACACATGGTGATTGGGCTTCTGCCTGGGGGTTGGGCACCTCCTTGTGCCCACATGGCGCTTGGGCTCCTGCCTAAAGCACACACCTGGTGCTTGGGTCATGCCTCAGTACCATGTATACATGGCGCTTGAGCTCCCTTGCCCCTAGGTTGGCATAAACAATTTCTGCTTGAATGAATGCAATGTTCAATCATAGTGATGCCTTCATTGCCTTACTAGGTGGACTAGGCATATTGAAAGAGATTTTTCTTATCTCCTCTTGGCCCAACTATACATTCATTATAAACCCATAAGTTTGTTAAATATTAATCGTTATTATGATAAGTTGTTGTCATTTCTTGATCATGCTGTGGAACATAAATTTCTAACATCTTCTGCATGAAATCACAATCTCTACTGCTACTACTAAACAACTAATTGATCAACTATAATCTTTTATTCTTGTAATTGATCCCTCCGTGAGTCGTATAAATTGATTATCTACGGAAACCTGTAAAAAGCTTAGATTGGATTTGAGTCTTCATTTATAAATCTTTGTGTCTTTTGGTTTTATTATTATGTTTTGTTGTTTCTTATACGAATTGGAAGGAATAGCTTCTACAATGGGGTGCCATCCAATAGCGTGAGTGGTAGGAATTTTCCATTCTGAGTTATGAATCAGCATATTCACCTTCGCGTTCTTTTCCATACCTGAATCATAGATGAATCTGTCGCCGTAAGAATCTGCGAGCGGGCTGTGAGGATGCCAATTGTCAAACCATAGAGAAGTTGTCCTGCCATCCCCTATGATGTACTTCATCTTCGGCCATGCTAAGGATCTGAGCTTTAGAATCTTTCTCCATGCCCAAGAGCAATTCTGTGGCGTCTTGATTGTCCAGAAATTCCTACCTCGCAACAGATTACATCTGATCCAAGTAGACCAGATTGAGCCATCTGAGTCATTGCACAGGTTCCAAATGTGTTTCAACAAAGCAATCTTGTTCCATTCTGTTATCCTCTTTATTCCTAGCCCCCCCTCCTTTTTTGGAAGACATACCTGATCCCAAGCCACTTTAGCCCCAGTAGTTCTCATATCTGAACCTGACCAAAGAAAGGATCTCATAATTTGCTCCACACTTTTTATGACTTGCCCAGGTAAGAGGAAGAGAGATGCCCAATAGACTTGGATGGAAAATAAAACTGAATTAATCAGTTGTACTCGTCCTGCATACGAGAGTGTTCTACAAGTCCAATGTCGAACTTTAGAGGTGATTCGATCCACGAGACCCTTACAATAAACAGCCTTTAGTCTGGACGAGATAAGAGGCACTCCCAAATATTTCATAGGGAGCTCCCCCTCTGCAAACCCAAGAACATGAATAATCTCTTCCCTCTCAGCATTTAACACACCGCTTAAGAAGATGTCACTTTTATTTGGATTTGGATACAGACCTGATAGATCTTGAAACTTTGTGAGCACAGTTTTGATCATACGAATTGAGTTTACATCTCCTTTGCTAAAAATCTTGTTTTCTTATAAGAAAAGCCCTATAACTATGTGTTGATTTATGGAGAGCACAAAAAGATACGAAATGTCGTTTTGGTGGCCATTGATAGTTGTTGCTTTCGCATATGCGATCGGTCGTTTCTTGCTAATGTTCATTCCTTTCATCGTCCCTTCAATCGACGTCGATGCCTCTTACGGTAACTAATATACGTACACACATGCGTATTTTTGTATGCTTTATATTTCTGCTGGCGATAATGAATTAATAATGAAGTATTTGTTTGTTAAAATTTGTGGCAGTTACGGAATGGAATCAAACGCTAGACGACAGCTACATTTATGTGAGTTCTTTTCTAAATTGCTTGCGCCTATTTTATTTTATCTTTTGCATTTATGTGGAATTTAAAATGATTAATGAGTGGATTAATCGGCTTAAAATGCTTTCTTTCTTTATTTAGTTAATTATTAGATGTTTATCTTGCCGTGTGTTATATAAAGCCTAGATTCTTTTTTCCATGGAGAAATTGAAGTTTGTAAAAGCTTGAAGAGTAAGAATTGGAATTAGTATATGATTGAATACGGTGCAGATTCCTCCGAGAGGAAGAACGCAGCAGTTAGATGAAAAGGTTCAGTGCTATGAGCCAGCGACGATGAAATACGCCCAAGATTTAAAAAGACTATTTTCATGACTAAATTATAGCAACAATGACGAAGTCCTAAGCTGTCCTACAGCTTGATTATTATGTCAAGGTAAAAAGGTTATACTGACGGTGTAAGAATAAGTATAGTGTAAACTCAT